TTGCCTGCTGACACTCGATACGACGTCACGAAAGTTCCTTCTCTTCCATCGTTGGCTATTTCATTGGCTATTCCCCGCCTTGGCATCTCGATATCGGAAGTGTTTGTTGGTAACTTACGAAAACCACCCACCGCATCTCACCTACCTTCACGGAAGGAAAGGAGACGGAGAGGGAAGAGGATTTAGAGAATGAAAGGATTCCGTGAGAGCAAAATGTGGAGAAGGTAAAAGGGCGAGGGAAAAATCAAGAAAAGGAGTTCCTTGTGAAAGCCGAAAAGGAGGAAAACACGGGTAGATGCGTTACATTTCCGCAGTGAGGGGAAAGGTTAGGTTTCACACACGGGAATGTAGTGATGGCTTTGGTACCACATCACACCCGTGTGAAGATAGATGAAAAGTTCTCGATCATTCGTCGTCCGGATCGAGACCTTATGTATGGTTATAATAAGATAGATAGATGTTTAACATGACAGTCTTGGAGAGTTACTACTATTCCGGAAATTCACCAATGAAGTTTGCCAGGTGAAATCTCCGTACTCCATCGGGGGTAGTTTAAAGTAAGTAAGCGTGGCAATCAAGCTAAACAACTAACACACTACCAGGAGCTCCACTCAAACCAACACACATCCAACACGAACATCAACATCAACCAACAGATTGTTAAGCAAAAAAACATAGCTAAAAAAAAATAACAACATGGGGATACTAAAATTCCTAATTAACAGCTCCAGAGTTTCAAATTTGAGTAATAACCCAATGGAACATCGGTTGGAAAATTCGAAAAATGCTAAAATGCGATTGGTTAAAAAGAGTGCTCTGATTGTTTGCATCGATGCGGGCCGTACTGCCGTTCACATGTAACGATGTATTATTCGTCTACTCGTCTCTCTTGTTTTGTCCCCTAAATCTTTTTTTTTCCCTCTCTTTTTTTTTCTATTTTTCCGAGGAAGCGGAACGCCCTTTCATTTCTTGAGACTGTCATGCCCTTGTAGGGTGCATGTCCACATCTAGTCACTCAATAGTTTCCAGACCACTATATTCGCCTTGTATGAAAGGGAATCGCCGTTCTTACGTATATGTATTGTACATGAGAGACATGGGGAATCATATTAATGACATCGTCTATTCATTATTTACCAGTGAGAATAATGCCCGTTTATACATACATACCATACATACCACACCTACATATACATACCTCCGGATATTGCACCGAAGGTATATTGATGTTACAATTAGGTGGCCATCTCCTCGGCTTTTGTCAATCCTACCTTTCATGCTTCATCCTATACTGTACTGTACTGTACTGTGCTGTACCTGTACTGTACGGAATAATAGCTACAGATTATCGCGAGGGAAGTTTTCTCATTTGGCATCACTCAATCAAACAATCCTTATCCCACCGGCAACTCATGCTTGCTTGCATATATGCCTATATCATGCAGGCCGCCTCCTACATATCACTATATTGTATTCTATCCAATTCGATCGGATCTTGAAATATCGCGCACTTTTCCGCCCGTCCGTTTGTTTGTTTGGTATCGTGACCAGGTTATAAATTATTTGCATGAATACTCTACGATGCATAAGTACTGAACATCTACAACATTTACATTCCGTGGCTACGAGCGAACGATGTGGCCACAATACTTCAAGGATGAGGAACAATTGATTATATTATTTGATATTCGAGGCGACCGCCAAGTGTAGGGTTATGGTAGGGTTAGAATAGGGTTAAAATAGAAAGCAGAGTATAAATAAACTATAATGACATTTAATAAACGAGAGGCTATTCAACAAGTTAAGCTGGGTTCAAGGGTTCGGGGAAGCTACAGATTGTCCCCCTAGCACTTTTTAGACCTTTTTCTCTGCTGCAGATAGAGAAATTTGAGTTTATGCTCACGATCCACCACAGTGAACTTCAATCATCTCAATTAGTCTTTTACTTAGATATGGGTCGTGAAGTGTGAGTGCATGAATGAATGTTCGAGGCCATTAGGAATCTTACTTTACGGCTGATGAACAACGAACCGAGTAGGGTAAGATCAACATGCACCGTACTCTGTACCCATTCATCGGGCCAATTCAGTTGAATTCAATTCATGAATGACGAACCTAGTTAGATGGATCATTTGATTAAGGTACCTCTGTTTCAAGTACCGATAATTACCCAAATTCTCTTCATAAAGTACCGATACATGATATATGCAAGACAGACTCAACCACGGAACTGAACAATCACAACCACGCAGCCATACCATGATGCTACATACCTTATCGTAGCCCACTTCTCCCACTATACTCAATTGATCTTCCGGAGAACATCTATCACATCTCACATCATATCTCACATCACATCTCATTCACTGGGGAAATAAGACCTACCCGCATCGATATCCTCAACCTTAACCAACAGCCCAAGTATCATCATTATGCATAACACAAGTTCCATGCCACCCATATGATATCTATCACATCTCACAACCCTCCATCTTCACGAGAAAAACAGGAACGGAAGGAAAGACACCTCGGCACTACCCCGCCAAAATTTGACTCCAGCGAGAACCGAGTTGACCCGATGCTACATGCAAACCCTCATTCTTCATACACCAACATGAAAACTATTGGTCTATTTCATCGCTCTATACTCCGCTCCGTCTCATAGGTCATCGTAAAGCATAAAATGTTACCCTGTGGAAATCCCCCGCATTTCTGGTTGATCAAGATTGAGATTAGATTGTAGAGCACTAGATTGATTACCTTTTCCTGCATATCGTACCAAATATGAGTTTAAGTATATTATTCCATATGCAAGAATCATGACAAGAGTGAACTGAATCGGTAAATAAATTTTGTAATATCATCTACCCCCAAACTTGGACATCAACCCCCTCGTCCCTGACACCCCCATATCTAGATTCTAAACGATCTGAATGATCTGAATGGAAGAGACAATAGAAGGAATACTCATTCTTACACACATCTCTCGAGTAAGGCAGTCAGATCTTAAATTCCACTACATTTCTTATATTTGATTTTCATCCCTTTATTTCCCATACTACTAGGCGGCGGTGCTTGTGTGCTGTATCTGCAGAACACTTAACACCACCAACCTTAATCCAACACACCCAGGTTCCCCTCACCCACCTCGCCGCACCATTACACACTCCCATCTCAATCCCACGATCTCCTTAGCAGGAATCCATCCTATTCGATTCAATTCTTCAAATACCGTAGATACCACCTCCAACTACCACACACATCATAAATTTGCTGATCCTGATCCTCTCATCCCTGACCCAAACATCCCGCGTCGCATGGCATACAAACACATCCTTTTCTAACCGAACCAAACTTGTTCACACCATACCCATCCACCACGAATAGCATTACTAGCTGATCGACAAGATAGCGGAAAGGCTACATCAACACAACACACGAAATATCAAATCCATGCATATAAGTTACGAACATATCCATTCACATGAAAACGTACCAAAATCTACTTACATCATAGATAGACCGACCACACGAATCAAACCACCCCAAGCACTACTACAGCAGACGTTTCAAACCCTCGTCAAATAACCCCAAGGATTCCTCATCGATTCCTCCCCTTGCCCAGCCAGCCTCAAATGTACCCCCAAACACCCTGCATACTTCGTACAAATAAAAAAAAATCTTCACCTCTATGCGAAACCGGCAAACCTAATCGTACAGCTCTCCTACTCTCCTACTCTGCACTATGTATGTTATAATATATTATGTTATATTATGCACTTACAAATAGTACCTACATAAGCTAAAGTGCACAATCACACCATGACTCCCTATACAGCGTACAGATATACATATATCAACGTATCAGAGAACATCAATCCCAAAATCCTAGGTTCCACAATTCTTGACCTGCAGCGCGGAAGTGATAGAACAAGGTTGCTTGGATGTACCGGGAGTAAAGATACTTTCTCCCCCTTTTGATGTTTAGGTATTTCTTTGATTTTCATATACATACATACGCATACATACATACAGACAGACATACATACAAGACTTCTCAACCCTCCCATCCCACCCACCCAAAAACCCAATCTTCGCAAACCCACCCATTTCCAACCCTAGCCATCAACCCACCCACCCCCATACCCTTTACCAACCCATCTTCCCATCTCCCAAACGCAAACCAAAACCCGGACCCGAACCCCATCTTCCCAAACTCAAAACTCAAAGCTTAAAACTCAAACCCAACCCCAACCCAAAAAACCCAACCCAACCCAAAGACCCCAACAAACAAACAAGGAATCTAAAAAAAGCCTCTCTCTCTAAGCACCAGCCAACTCCCGCCCACCTGCTTGCCCGCCGCCCAGCCACCTCAAAACGCAATACGTCGTATAGAAATATTGACCTCCACACGAGGGCATCGATGCCTCCCTCGCTCCCGCCATCTCGTCTATCTATATTTAGGGTACGGTATGTAATGTAATCTCCGCCAGCCACGTTTGATTGTGTCGATCGATCGATCGAGACGATGTGATGTGATATGATGACGATGATGATGTGATAGAAATATGCATGGGATGTGCTAGGAGCGGTTCGGGGAGAAGGGATTAGGTGGGGGGAAGCCCTGAGATGTATGGACCCTGGGGGAAAGGTTAATTATAGATATTTTGGTTCCGGAGAACGGAAGGGAAAGGGAAGGAAAGTAAAGTAGGGAAAAGGAGTGTGAATAAGCAAATGAGATGAAGATTGTATATCTCTTGTTCATTATTGTATCTGTATGGTAGGTAGTTTACCTATTAATTGGTCATAACTCATCTATCATTACCGTGATCTGGCTTCAGAACACCCTACCTCCCATTCCCAACCCCTTTTCATCCCCTCATGTGTTTTTATGATATCAATACTGAACCTCGTGTTTGCTCGGAGACCAAACAATCAGTCAATCCTAACTGCCATACTCACAACCCCGCTGAAAAAAACCCCTTCTTAACCTTTCCAAGAGGTTTCCCTCCTCTCTGTCCACCATACTTTAAACCCACATCACCAGCTCGGGCATATCCTCCCATAGAATTTGCATCCTTATCTATATCCCCAATCTGGTTGACATCATTCATCCTAAAGCCCTCGCACTCCTTGAAAATAGTCTCATACAGCGAGCCTACAGCCGTAGTCCATTCGTGCATTGCCTTGAGACGTTCCACATCACTGTTATCCTCGATTTCGACTGTTCCTTCTTGTTGGTTAATTTTCGCATTGACTTTCTTGTCAACAATCAAGAAGCCTAAGATGTCTTGAACTTCCGAAACTGGAATTTTGAGGGCTTTGCCGATGAAATCAAGCTTGAAGCGGGTGTAAGGTGCGATTAATTTGACTACTGCTTTGGTTCTCATATTGCGAGTTACTTCATCAATGTTTTCGCGAATGAAGGAGTCGGACATCAGATCTTTGTTATTCTTTAAAACATCTTCGTATCTGTGAATGTCATCTCTTTGGTATGCATCGACTAAATCGGTCATTGCGGCGATACGAGGATCATTCTTATATGGTTTGGTTTCCTGAGATTCGAAAGGATTGATATCGGATTTCATCAACATGGTTGTCAAAACAAGGTACTTAAGAACTTGGATCCGCTGTAGGGATCCAGCTTCGTCGTAATCTTTGAACGACTGGAAGAAATCGCTTTGCGCATCCTTCCAATTCTCCTCAGCCATATGCATCTTCCCACCACATTCTCGAATGATGCCCATGATTCTTGGATGTGGTACTGCTGATTTGACCTTCAAAGCGCGTTCGTACAACCGCTTCAATTGCTTGTTGTTCTTTGTCTCAGAATGCATTTGAATTTCACAAGCGTAAATTTCCAAAGAGTAAGTACCCTTACTTGGGTCATCTGTACCATCTTCTAACTCACATGCCTTGCGGAGCTCTCGTAACTTCTTCGTTGTCGCAGCGTAATCCTTACGGTCGAGGAAGAGTTTCGCCAGCTTGATATTGGTCTTCAACCACAATCTTTCGTTATTGGTGCTCTGGAAGGATTCAAGAGTGTTTGAATAGACCTCCTCCATGCATTTCCTGGCTGCATCGTCTTCAGTCTTTTTTTCAATAAAGTCCAGGATGTTGTTAATGGACTTCTCCGAGTAGTTTCGAGTTACCGCGGATTTGACATAGGTAAGAAGTTCGCGATAATGCTCCACAGCCTGGAAATCATTAGATATGAACATATGATCAGTCAAAACAAATTGATACCTTATCATATAAAGCAAGATTGAACTCAAGCTTTATGGCTTGTTTCAAGCCTTTAAACCCCCAATCACCTTTCTCTTGCTCGAGAGCTGGAATGCCTAGAAACTCCTCAATAGCAGCCTCGGGATCGGTAGATTTCAATTGTTTGGCATTGTAGTATTTGTTTTCGATGTCGACATCTTCATCCTCATCGTCATCATTTTCTTCGTACTCGAAGTCATAACTATCATGGTTAGCTACATTTGGAAAGTCTGGTAAGGCTTCACATACTCCTCCTGGTCGGAATCTTGCATGAAATCATCATCGTCAGACATACTTGCTGTCCTTTGTTTTAAAGGATAAGATTCACCGTTGAATATGATTTAGCCAAATACGGGCAAAAAGCTTTTTGAGGTTTCGTGGTGATGAGTTGTAAATATAATTAAATGTGAAAGGTAAGAGGAGGGACTGTAAGGCTGTATGTATGTCGTTTGCCTGGAGCTTTGTAGTCTTGTATGATTGGCCACTCGCTTAGTGTCCTAGCTTCTTAATTCTGAAAAGCTTCCGCCTCGCGACAGACATCCATCTCATGCCTCTCTCTGTTCAATCAACAACAACAACGAATACTTACAAGTCAAAGTACCCGCAATTTTTGACTAAAGACTCTCTCTCCTCTAGATCTATTAGTTCACTATTAAATTTCCACATACTTCTCGTGTGGAAAAATTCTACCGTGTGCGCCCGCGTGTTTCCCTTCAACTCAGTTGTACAATAACGCCAAACAACCTTCAACATGGGTGGCGATCTCAACTTAAAGAAATCATGGCATCCCCATTTGATGAAGAATCAGACACGGGTGTGGGAGGAAGAAAAGAAAGCACTCGAGGAGAGACGTCGTACAGAACAGAGGATCAAGGAACTTAAAGAAGAACGAGCGAAGGAAGAGATCCAAAACAAACTCGAAGCTGCCGGATCGAGGAAACGGGTTGATCGTGTTGACTGGATGTATCAAGGCCCATCGAGTGGTCAAGCCGGAACCACCGAGGAGATGGAAGGTTATCTTCTTGGAAAGAGACGCATCGATGGGTTAATCAAAGGTACAGAGCACAAAAATCTCGAGAAGCAAGCATCTGAAGCTAGTTTCATGGCTTTACAAAACGCAAATACCCTGCGAGATACGGCAGCCAAGGTCCGTGAAGATCCTATGCTTGCTATCAAAAGACAAGAGCAAGCCGCATACGAGGCTATGATGAATGATCCAATAAAACGACGGAAGTTACTTGAACTGGCTGGGCAAGACACCAAGGAGATCAAACCAAAAAAGGAAAGAAAGCATCGACATCACCACAGGCATCGCGACGATGACGATGAAGAACGAAGACGAAAGCGCAGGAGGGATGAAGATGCGGATGGCCGAGAGGGGGATCGAAGTCACAAGCGTCGCAGAAGTGGTGACGATTACGATGACGATAGGAATCGCAGAAGTCGCAAATCTGAATACCGTCGACGCTCGGATTCGTACTCAAGATCTCGTTCTCCAATAGATAGAAGAGATAGTTTTGGGAGATCACGAAAACCAAGATCACTATCACCAGATAATAGAGAAAGAGGACGACCAGGAAGAGAAAGGGACTACGACCGACCTACGCCAGTATCACCAGATGGGCAACAAAATGGTAGATCGGATAGTGATCATGGTAGGAGGCAGAGAAGGAGGAATAGTTCATCTTCGGAATCCCGATCCCCTACTCCAGAACGACGAAGATCCCCGGATAGGAGGAAATCTTATCCAGCAGGCAGGGAGGACAGAAGAGACAATTACAACAGAAGGGATACTAGGAACAGATACGATCATCAGCACAACGGGAACGGCTATAGCAGACGAGATGATAGGAGGTCGCAGGGTGGATATCAACAGCAAAACGGTCCTTCCGAAGAAGAGAAGGAGGCAGAGCGACAAAAGAAATTGGCTGCTATGCAACAGGATGCATCTAGTCTGGACATTGATCGTGAAAAACGACTCAAGGCATTAGAGGAACAGGAGAAGGCAGCTCGTGAAGCTGAGGACAAAGCACGAACAAAGTCATCCAAGTACTCGGATAAGGGCGACTTTATCAACGGCCTCAATCGCACGGCAGGAAATATGAACCTTGCTGACCGGATTGGGCGTCGTGCAGGACAAGGCTTCATCAAGGAGGAAGAGTGATTATGTTTAATGGTTAGGATGATGGAGGTGTGTTATCTCTCAATACCCTTTCTTTGTACCCTCTGTGTATCAGATTGCGTAGTTTCTCTTGTTGTAGGATCTTGGTGACTGTTTTTACCTTTCATTGCGCAAAATTGCAAATTAGAAAAGCAATAAGCATCAAAATTTGAAATTTCGAATGCTCCCCACCGAGTCCACTCTGGACTAAGTTGATGCTCCACACTGAACAACGCAAAGTCAATTACGGCTCACGGTTCCAAGTTCTGAGTACCACAAATTTCCTCCTTTTCAAGGATATGCCTCCCATGCGACGATCATCCGCTTGAGCCACCCAAATGTCAAATGGAATGCGAGGAATTGCACCATGATGTTGAGAGAAAAGTTTAGAAGATGGACGAAAAAAGAACAAACCATCATTAGAAGAAATTATCGCAATTGAACCAGAGTTAGATGTCTCATGTACCTGACCTGATAACGATTAAACGAATCAAATCTTTTGTGAAGTCGAAAACCCCTTCATCTCTTCCCCACGATGTACTAAGGAGAATTTACAAGGTCGGAGACGGCTAAATGATATTTGGAGCTGCATTAGTTTTTCCCCTCTTCAAAATTGCATCCAGAACATGGTCAATGATAAGCCATAAGCATAAGGTACGGATGGGTAAGTGAAATTGACCGACGCATCCATATCTCAGACGGCCCAGCGGATGCACAGTGTGAAAAGCATCCATCCATCCAGCTGGGCTTGAAGAAAGTTGTTGAAGTTAAGAGTTTACTTATTAGCTGATTTCTATTGTTATTGTTATTATTATACCATCATATGTGGAGTAAAAGCTTATGCTTCATTTCATACTGATGTACTCACAATGTTGCACAGTAATTTAGAATTAACGATAAGGGATAATCAAATGATGACAAAGCATTGATCTTTTGAATTTGTACTCGCACGAGAATTCCTTACGTACCTGAATTTATTGCAACTACATACCAGTATATATGTTTTAAGAATTTATATTATTATTGCTTCTCACAACATCAATTCCAATTCACCATTTTCTTTCATCTATTCAATTGAGTCGACAATTCCTTTCATTGATTGATTTCCATATAAATTCATATCATAAATCATCACATCAGCATTTGCCAGGATAATAATAATAGTATCCAGACGGACCCTCGATACCATAACGCTACCTAGGTACTTACACCCATGCCCTAGTCGCTCTCTGGCCTGGCCCCCTTCTCAATTCTCGGTCCAATCCAACATCCACCATCCACAATCCACCATTCATTATTCACCAGTACTTTTCAATCCTTGAATCAATCATCTCATCCTTCATCCATCCCATCATTCCGTCCCTACGGATATTCTCACATTCTATTATCTGACGTTCACCATTCACCTACGAAATATACCTACTACCGGTGTACATCACGATACGATAATAGTCTATACCTACCTACTACCGACCGATATTCCTGAACAACCCACATACACACATACATACAACACTTAACATTACATCATCGCATCACATACAATATGCCTTGCGGATTAGGAGGATCAAAAACGACCCAGAGGAAATTGGTCTTACTGTATGTTGTATTTTGTTTTTTACGCTGACTTGGATTGAGTCTTTTCAGCCTTTTCTTTTTCTCGACGGAATGTGAGAGAGGCAGGGAACAGGATCTCGTCATATTACACCGATTTTATCATATGGATAAGATTATGCGATGAAATGGTAGTCGAGTAAAGTCGCATCAGAGGTGCAGTGGTAAAAATGATACATTCAATTCAATTTGACTGCAATTACGATTGCAATTGCCATAGCCATTGTTCTGTTGCAGGTTATTTCTGCTGGAGATATGATTATTGGGATGAATAGATTGCTAACGATTCTTGTGTGTTAGAGGGGATGGTGCTTGTGGAAAAACAAGCTTACTTAATGTCTTTACGAGAGGGTAGGTTTGGCTTTTATGTCATTATAATTGAGATGAAATTAGGGCAGGGCTGATGTTGGAACTCTAGATACTTCCCAACGGTATATGAACCTACAGTCTTTGAGAATTACGTTCATGGTATGTCTTTCATCTCTATCCTTCGTGCCCCTTTCATATCTACCTTATAATCTCAGCGGGACTTCGACTTACATTTTCGTCCATTTCAGATATCTTCGTCGATGGTACACATATCGAACTTTCCCTATGGGATACAGCCGGTCAAGAAGAATTCGACCGGTTACGCTCCCTTTCTTACGATGACACACACGCAATAATGCTTTGTTTCTCCGTCGACTCAAAAGATTCCCTGGAAAACGTCGAATCTAAATGGGTGGGCGAAATTGCCGAGAATTGTCAGGGTGTCAAACTAGTTCTAGTCGCATTGAAGTGTGACTTGAGAGAACAAGGAGCGGATGATGAAGCGGCAGAGGGAACAGATGGTGCAGAGCCCAGGGAAAAGAAACCAATGATTGATTATAATCAAGGCTTGGAAGTCGCGAGAAGAATCAATGCCCTGAGATATTTGGAATGCTCGGCAATGAGGAATAGGGGAGTTAACGAGGCCTTTACGGAAGCGGCTAGAGTCGCGTTAAGTGTTGATCCGAATGGGGGTGATGGGAATGGGAAGTGTGAGGTTATGTAGTGGGTATAAAAAGTGCGTGGGAACTTTATTATGGAAGGAGATTTGACTGCTTCTGTTCTTTTTTTGATTCTGGGAAGGCGTTGGAGGTTGGAGCGTGAGATATGTTGTGATTTGCTCACAGGTGGTACATATAATTCTACCGGGAGTAGAGGGAGACTCTCGAGTTATTTTCCGGAGAGGTTCTTTCACATCCAACATTCAGATGGATTTTAGGTTGGAGCGGCGAAATGCACACCCCGCTTTTCTTCCCTCCTTACTTTCCTTTCCTCCTACAGCAGCTTCTTGGAGGAAAGGAGAGAAGAGGAGATTATTCCGATTTCGATTCATGAACATATAACTTCAATTCTGATATTCTACTTATCTTCTTACTTTTCTTTTTCTTTTTTCTTCTTCTTTCTTCCTCTTCTTTCTCTTTTTCTTCCAACTGACATCCACGAGGCGGATTAGGGAAATCTATTGACGTGATGGGTGGATGGATGGCCAGATATTCAATTGTCAAATGATGCTAGAGCCGAAAGTAGGGATTCCCGGATGAGTTCGAGGGTTGAGCATTGGGTTTGCCTGTGGTGGGTGGGTGCGTGCGGTGGTTGACCTGAACGAAGGGGCGGTGAGAGGAGGGGAAGTGAGGGGAAATGAGGGGGAAGCGATGGATCTATATAAGTGGATGGATGATGGGTGGGTGGGTGTGATCACTGCGATGGGATAGGATGGGGTAGGATAAAAATATGTACTTGTATACTACGAATAGTAAACAATGAGATGGAATTTTTGTATTTTTTGTATTCTATGTCGAACTCTTTTTTTGTGTTTCTTCTTTTACCGGGAAGGAAAAGGATAAAATAAAGTAAGATTTGAAATTTTGACATAAACTTTCTTGGTATTATAAATCTTTAATTCTATTTCTAATTGTAGTCTTAACTCTAACAAGATTTCTAAGATTTCAATCTCATCTATTATCTATCACCCTCCATCACATCAACATCAACATAAGATATTCTTTTTAAGTTCTAACAATCACCCCTCCCAAATTAAAAAAAAAAAAAAAAATCAACCTTCCTTCGTCGAATCCCCCTTAAACCCCATCTCCACATCCCTCTTAAAAACCCACCATCCCTTCCCCGCCTTCTCCTTTGCATTCTCCGCCAACTGTCTCCGTTTCTTCCTCGGATAATTAACCGGACTCTCACCTCCGACAAAAATAGCCACATCATAAAACAATCCTCCTATTAACGCGCCGGAAATCGTAGCGCCCCATGCTCCATACACCCACCAGGCATTCGAAACGGTGAAGACATCGCTGCCGTAGCCTACTGTGGCGGTAGCGAGACGCGGACCGAAATCCCGTGCAGGGTTCAGACATGCCCCTGTTGTGTAGCCGAATGCCATGGTTAGGACTGTGACGACGAGGCCGACGATTAGGGCGTGCATACCTGCTCCGGGGGGTGCGTTGGAGTCGTCTCCTAGGGCGAGGATGGTGCAGGCTAGGATGCCGGTTGCGACGAGTTCGTTGAAGAAACTGGAGGATGGGCTTGCGAAGGTTTTTGGTTGTGTGTAGAATGAGGAGCCGGTGCCTCCGGATAGTAGGTTAACTACTTGATTATTGTCGAGTATACCACCGCTAGCATCGTACGTGGCAATGGCGTCTTTGTAAATGCCGTATGCAATTAGTCCGGCGAGAAAACCTCCGAGGATTTGCGCGAGGACGTAGATAAATGCTTTTCTTATGGGGAAGCCTCGGTATATACAAAGCATGAGGGAAATGGCAGGATTGAGATGAGCACCAGATATTCCACCTGCAATGTAGATACCTATTGTGATTCCCAAGCCCCATGCCCAATTTGTGGATTGATAATTACCTGAAGTTTCTTCCGAGGTCTGAACTGCAAGATTGGTGGCCAAACCAATAAGGACTGCAATCATTGTCTGTGTAATTGTTAGATATGTAGTATCATGTGGCATGATCAACTTACTGCTAAGCATTCAGCTAACGGTTCACGAAACTTGTTTCGAATCGATGCTAAAGCGTTGGAGTTGTCTTTTTCTTCCTGGATATATTGCATCGCTTCTTCACTGCTTAAAGACCATTCGTCGTCTTCTAAATTATCCCCCCTTTCCAAATCTAGCTCCTTGTCATTCTCATCGCCTGCAAAGTCTTCACTTTGCGTCGTAGCATGTTGAGCTAAAGTTGATCCTGAGCCTGAGGGATGTTCCACAACATCAGAAAGTCGATTGGTATTCTGCTGACCTAAATCCGCCTCTCCATCATCATGAGGAGATCTCCAATCATCCATAGGATTATCTCTCTCGGCTAGCGGGGTACCATTATAATCCAAGATCATGTTCTCCGAATCCTGTCTATTAGATCTATAGCTTTTCCTCTTCCATCGGTCTTGTTGTTGGTGTCCATAGCCTCGGTCTTCTTCATTCCTGCCCAGGCGATTCGATTTCTTTTTTGTTTCCCCTTTTCTCTGGTCGTCAATCATCCCAACTTGTGGTATTGCCTCAGCATCCCCAGGCTCTTCATTTGCCGCAAGCTTGTTCTCGACCACAGTATTTCTCCCTCTTCTCATTCCCGGCCTGACTACTCGAGGAAGGGGTTTCGCCAATCCCCATACTGGTTCGTCCTTCGGTTTTTGGTAATTTGGATTAAAGTCATAATATTCTCTATCGACATAATGAGGTTCGTGTTGGGGTCCTCCAGCGTTACCAGCTAGGGAATGTTGCGGTCGAGCCTCGGGTGGTGTGTTATTTGTATACAGTCGTCCTCCATGCGGTCGTGCATTGTGTTGATGTGATCTTTTAGAGGTATGAGCTTGAGCGTTTGGACGATTCGTCCTGGTAGTTTTCGCGGTTTTCTGTGTATTAACACTGCCGGTTCTGACTGAAGGTGCTGGTGTGCTTTGACCGGCGTCCTGTTCTCTATCGTGATGTTCTGCCATGAGAGCTTCCGTTTATATATTATGATGCCTTTCTTCACTCACGATTTCAAAGGGCATGGAGGGGTGAAATAATTCTTTGCAACAGAACGAAATGCACTTACAAGGGATCTTTCACTTACCTTGTGCCAATTCATATATAGCATTGTATGGAAGGCAATTCTTGATTGAAAAGTCGTCATAATTGCAACGATGGAGGGGAATTTTGTGGGTATGATCGATATCTAGGTATCGATGCAAAAGTAGAAAAGTTCGGTGTCAACAATAATGCTTTGATGTTTGGTTATTGTGGATCATCCGGAGCTGTTGGTCCTTAGCGAATGTATTCGACGGAGTAGTGGTCCTAATTGGTTCTGGTGGTTCCTGGTAATTTCATACAAAACTTCAGAAGGAGTAAATCTTCCATAATATGCAAACAAAAGCAAGATCGGTAGGTTGGAGAGAATATCTATTTAGGAAAGAGGAAAATCATCAGAAAGCTTGTTTTCTATATAATTCGATCCCCACCAAATGAATTCCTTGGTGAGTCCCATTGCACGTGATTTCGGACCGACTTCATCAAAGATCTTTTCCTTCTTTTGAGTCCACTTCGGTCCTTGGTCATAAGGTAGAAGTAGAATTCTCCATATGTCCCATGTTGTAATGAAACCCTTACTCATCAAGTGTGAATAAAGATGTCCTATTTCTTCTTTAGACATGATCGACCTTCAACTAAAACACTTTCGTCTGTTCCTGCTGCTCTTCTCAATCTCTTTCAAGGATCTCTTACCTTCGGAAATACTATCTTCACAAATTTCACACATCAAACTCAAGGTGGGATACATGGGAACTGCATATTCGAGTTCTCAAGTACATGGGCTTCGAACTCTTCAGTTTCATGGGTCAGGACGTACTCCCTCGTCTGATATTCCATCACACAGAACTTGAAGCTTCTGGGTCTTTTGACATCGCGAGTTTCCGAGGCTGCAGATGACATACTCTAGTGCATACAACTTTGAACTCCCGATCTCGGGTCAATTGACGAGCAGTTTTGTTACAATCTCCACAACCTGACGACAGATAAAGTGGGCTTGGAATGGAAGGCACCGGATTGCAAACTCATGCACCTACCGAAAGGGGAAGAATTTCTCAGTCTGTGGAAAATAACTTGTGCCCTGTCTTAATAGCATTTCAATCAGGATATAGAAGGTTTGGATGTCAAAAATGCACAACCTATTCTCGACAACGGGAGAGCTGCATAAGTAGTCAACACCACAGTAACATTTTTCACTCCCAAAATCCTTGTACAGCAATTCTAGAACGGCGAACCAAGAAATCCGTCATAGGTAGACTCTCCCCGTTTTGTGCAGGATCGACTATTATTAAAGTGCGTGGGGCCAGGATTCATTACATTGATCCGAACAGCCTACCACGCCAACGATAGCAAGATACCCAAGTATTCGCACACTTCCTTTTTTATATAAATCCTACTTCCCCCAAAATTGTCATGTCTACGTCATTTTTGGAAATGCCGAAGCTTGATACCGGATTGTTCCAATTCTCAGAACTCGTGATCCACTTTATAATCTCAAGTAGTTGGCTCACGCAGCTGTTGGTCCCCTTGATATCTAAGTCCGTATCATCCAAGGACACGGCTACACAGCAAGCGTCCCATTTTTGGCATAACACAATTCGAAAAGGGCTACTATGGATTATGTGCTTCAGCCTTTCAAAACTGCTGAACGTTCAACCTCACCGATATCAGTTCCGTCCATTCTTTCCATAGGCTTCAGATTCGAGTAATCGCTTATCCTGGTGTCAATACTTCAAGTTCACATCCTGGACAGATATTTGCCGCAACGCAACATCTTCCGCAGTACGTCCCTCGTCCTCACCAAGCCCACTCAGGACATTGTACCATGATGCATAAGCGTGGGAGTTGAAGGCTTCCTCATCTGCGGTCATTCTTGTCAATAACCCAACACAGGTTTCTTTTGCTTTATCTGTGCCCTAGCCGAAATCAAAGTGGACCAGTTAATGCTCGTGGTAGGAGGCAATCGATCTGCAATATACTCTGGAAGAACGGCCATCTGCGATCTGTCTGAGCTTTAGAAAACTGCATATGGATGCTCTATTTAGATGATAGTGACAACTAGAATTGAGGTTTTAATGATGATCGATCGGTGCTGAGGCTGGATGCTATGACTGGAGGTGCCCAATACCAGGGGAATCTTGTATTCCCGCAATTGCGGTTTCGAATTGTCGCTAAGCTTCCTCCTTTTGCAGATACTGGCTATGAGGCTTTTCCACTCTTGGAAATTACCAAATATCCAACCAGGAGCTTGTCTCAGTTACCTATAGCCCCAGTAAATTTTAATAAAACCTTGGAAGCCTTTTGATGTCAAAGTTGATATCTGAAAGTGTGAGCAAATTATCTTGTTATTGCCTATATATGTTAGCGAAGAGTTTGAATGACGTACCGTGGCTAGTTTTCGCCTCCGGGTTTTAAATAAACATAACAAGATTGCATACCATGCATATGCGAACAATGCATCAAAGTCGCAGTAGTTCGAAGCTATAATTGATACCATATATTTACCCCAATATCTGCAACTTCAGTTCTGAACATCCAATCATATTGGTTTCCGACTCGTTACCGAAAGATCCCTACGCTTCTGACTCGTGAGAAAGACTTTCTTGCATGATAGGAAGGTTTTAGTGAGCTTGAAATGAACGAAGCACATGAACAGCTACGCTACCACGCCTAGAAGTCCGACCAAAAGCCGTGTGCAAAACGGGCCGAGTCAAAAATAGCCTCTTCGACACCGCAAGAAGCTGGCTAGGGTGGCGATCTTTGGCTTTGAGAGCTATTATCATGATACGATAAATACGATTGCGGTACTAGGTAATAGTTTGTCCATGCTCCTAATGTGATATTTCCCTCATATCCGACTACTAGATGCTCTTTAAATACTTTGCCTCTAACTAGAAGATATAATGTCCTAGAGCGTCGCAGGTGAATCTTTGGGGAACTTCGTTCAATAAGAAGCGCTGCTTGCTGCTCGATGGTATTATTATTTTTGCTAGGTTTGGCAAGTACAGTTTTTGAGACGGAATATGCTCTGCAAAATTTTACAGAATCTCTATGTAGGTAAAATAGCTATCTCGCATCGTACAGAAGAGGGTTTTGTATAAGAATCTGGAATTTCCAGGCTCCAGGTGAAATCACCATGTCTTATTTCGTATAATTCTAACTCCTTAGTGCGAGCTCATTGGTGTAAACTACATTTGAGTGACTTTTATCCAAGCGACTTTACGGCTTGCTGGGAGATCATTGCTCGGACTCGAAGCCGTCGCCTCCAAAATTAAAGAGATTTTTAGAGTTATTAGCAGATCTATAAAAAAAATATAGGCTGCTGCTGAAGTGAGAACTCGAGGACTGTTGTCCGTATGTAATATAAAGCTAGTAGAGCTATCGGCTGCGTTATTGTCAGGCTGGAAAGTGTTTGATTTATTGAACTGAGAACTTGAAGGCTGTATCCTGCGGAGCGAAAAGGATCTGCAAGGGCTGTGAAGCTGGTGGTGTTATTTGCCTGGTTGGTGTTACCAGAAACATACCAAAAATCTTTCTTCTCTCTCCTTCTCCTGCAATCAATTCACTCACGTGTTGGTTATATTTCAAGTGTTCTTTGGGATGCTCACTTCCTTGCATACCTGTCGGTGTTGCCGTTCGTTCTGGTCAGTGAGTAGTCGCTGGCTATCTTTTTTCATGTGCTTGTTCTTCCAACATATTTCCGAGCAGAAATCTGGCTATTGATTCGCTGTTTGAGATAGTTCGAGCCAGGCTTCAGCGTATCTTTGTTCACGTTGTGAAGGGTTGTAGGTTCTCAATCTGCTGAAGATGGTTGTCCGGGAGGCGCCGTGCCTGGTGCGGTGCTGAATAGAGGGTTATATGATATTCTTGTGCTAAACTGGTGCTTACAAACCGCTGTAAAAAAAAAAAATAGGGATTCTATTAATAGCAGTTTACCGTCTCGTTCCAGAAGTGGTGTGGTTTTCTTTCAATTTGCCATTGGCGTTCACAATGGTGATAAATATAGTTAGTTGTTGGCAGCAATGGGCATTCTGTTAGGTCGGAAATTTTGGATATCTTGAATTTATGGTCTTGGTAGCTCTAATTGATTCTTACAAAGAAATTACTGTTGGTGGTTTTCGAGGTCGTTTACGGTTGTGTGATCGGATTGCAACATTCTTTGTTGTTATTGTCTGAAAGTTGTTCTTTCCCATCATAACAGACTATAAAGAAAGCCTCATGTTCGCGTATTTAGAGTCTTGTCTAGCCACGCCAGAAAGAAAATGAAAAGAGGAAAGGGGAAAAGGAAAAGGGGGGAAATGATTGCTGCGTTTCTTTAAGCGAGAGCGACCACGGAATCACACCAGAGAGCTCATCTCTACATTTTCTGCATATATTTCACTATATTCACATATCATTTTACATTATATTAAAGTCTGTTCAATTCTCGAACTAAAAAAAGAAATTTCTATTCTGTCTGGCAGAGCCCGCTCCAAGTTAAACAATTTACTAACCTATCTGGATACCCCAGATACTTTTCTGTGCTTTTGGTTTTTACAAGGAAATAAAGTACATTCAACCCTAGCAATTAACACCTGAAAGTAAAGTTGTCTACGAGTCTACTATCGAGTGATTTGAGATGATTCAACACCGGGCCTTTCATGTCAACTCTCGAAACTCACAACACATCCTTACTCACCGTTTTTCTTCGAGAATGACTTCGCCAACTGCTTCATCTTGTCGCTCATCTTCCTTGCCATTGTCTTCGTTTTGGATGGCTTGAGCGGGGTGTCGCGTGGCTCGGCAACAGGTCGTTCTCGTTGGCTCGCGCGTGTTGGAGGTCTGTCTTCATACTCTTCGTGTTCCTTTGATGCTCTCGAATAGTTCGGATGTTCCTCTCTATCGATGCTCTTACCTTTGATTTCTAAAGCATATTCTTCAGAAGGTCTTTCTTCAGCTTCTTCTTCAGCCCCGTCATCTTCCTCCAATATTGTCGGATAATCCGGATTTGCTCCTCCACCTGTTTTTGGACCTGATACCACACGTAATCCTGTTCTTATACTGGTGGAAGGACAGACTCGCTTGGCTTTCTCTTTCTGTGCGCGAAATCTCGCTGCTTCAAAACAGCGAGAGCAAGAGCAGTCACCTTCCGCTGCATCTTCCCTTTCCTGCTCGAAGAATGGACATGCCATTACCGTGATGTTGTTTTCCAATGCATGGGCACACGGATGAAATGAAGTTCGTGCGTCTCCGCAGGTGTAGACAGTGGTCCTTTGTTTACACATCTTGATGGTTTGGGTTGGGTGTTTGGTGGTTGCGTTGCTGTGGTGGTGTTAGCTGGAGTATGCTGTCGGTGTGTAAGTAAGTTCTAGTGATTGGGTACAGACGAAGAGAGGGAAATTAAAGAGAGGAAACTCTGGTCTTTTCTATGATGCTGCGTGTTGTTCGAATATTGTTTCCATAATTCCATGTTGTTGGATTATTCTCCAATGGCCTTTGTGTTCTAGAGAATAGGTTTAAAGAAACAATGCTTCATGGGCTAATGTTACGTGCCATCACTGGGGTTAGACATGTTGTACATTTCATCCTTTGTTCGACCAATGTAATCTTAGTATATTATACCTTAAAGACGTAGTAGGATTTGATATTTGTTAGTCAAACTTGAGATTTGCAACACGAGCTTAATTCTATAGCCCGGTCAACATGCCCATATACATACTATTATATTCATGTAGGCCTGTAATTGGCTGTCAATTTAAGCTATAATGACAATCCATATTTATCAATCTAGTTGCCATTCAATATATCCATTCAAATATTACCTAGATATATTTTCATATTTTGAAATAGCACATTCGAATAGTAGAGTCTATCTTCAGAATTAACTCTTTGGATATCCATCTCTATATGATACTTGAACAACAATCAATTATATGCCATTTACACTGATTACATCAATGACAAAAACCACATGCAAATATCAACGGAAATTTCGTAACTCTTCTATATGTTTATCCGTCTACAACACCTTCATACTCCTCCGTTAAATTTATGGTTCTCCTTCAAACGAAATCTTCATACATTTCAATATCATGTATCACACAATCATTAAGCAGACTACTATACGGAAAACTCATAATTTTTTGAAATGTCTAGGTATTTATGTATAACACTAACTCACACTAAAGGTTCTAAGTTAAGTCGCATTACCAGGATTTACCTGGATTTACCTCAGATACGTATCTCCTATTCTTACCCCCTTACAATTAACCATCGCATCAGCTATCACATTCGACTTCCGAAATTTAATATTCATTCGACTTCCCCATAGGTTTTCCACTTAGCCTACCAATTAACTTGTTGTTCAAGTTTCTAGTTGATTTATTACTCGAGTTGACATTCGACCTCTCCATCCATACCGCTGGTGCGGCCCCTTAGACATGCCTACTCTTTCAAGGCGGTGATTGTAATCTCATCTTCTGTAGAAAAGCAATTTCCTACTCACAAAAGGTCTCCGTATGTTTGAGGATGATGAGCGGTATGTATGCATGTTGATTGAGGGATAGTAACAGTATCATTTACAAATTTTCATAAATATTAATATAAATCTCCAAATTATTGTAGATGATATATCGATTCGAGCTTCAAATTGTTGTGTGTTTATTGTTAGACGTGTAGGTGTGAGGATACGGAGACGTGCACAAGAAAAGGTGGAGTGGACTTGTACAAGGAGTTTTAGTACTAGGTTATTTTATGGAAGACAATTTTCTGCCTCTTTTAAGAGATCATCATTAAAGGCGATACTCGAAAGTAGCGGCGAGAATCAGAAAAGACACTGTGATAGACAATTGTTCTTTTTCATTCGGAGAATTACAAGAAGCTAGCTCGACGTCATCCTGCCTTTGGGAGCATTTTTCAGAACTTGAGATTGGAGCAGCAATTCTTGATTTCACAATCATAATCTCACCGGAATTTTCAGCAGGTATAAAGAACAACTGCAGAATAAGTTTCGAACAATAATACAACCGAGTCTTATGGATTAGTTGTTGTTCTGTTCATCATAAAGAAAAGGGGTGAAAACTTGGCTAGCTTTGCCATTGTACAGATTGAGTAAGTAAGAAACATCCTAAAGCACTCAACGAAAAGAATCTTAAGCTTTTATTGAAGAGGGAATGAATGGATTGAGATGTAGTATTCAAGTTATCGACATATACAAGCGGGATATATTTGTTCAACTTGAACTGTATTCTTCACAACAGAACACAAGGCATGGGGCGATCATGAATAGACTCTAAACAATAACTTCCCTGGAAGTATAAGTATCACTTGTCGAACCTTGCTTAACTTATTTTCATTCCTCATCAGCTTTCAATATCATACAAACACAGCACACACAAGTACTCAATCAGATATCGAAATTACAGCAAACAAACAACTTACCACCAACCGTAAGTAGTAACCGCAATCATGAAGAAATTCTGCATCGCCATCTGCTCACTTTCAGGCATCGCATACGTAGCCACAACGGTCTCGGGATCACTTTCTTCACAATCCTTTTAGCATCAACCTCGACAGCCCCACGAGCCCCACATGGTGGGCACTCGACTTAGAGTGCACCTTTGACCACAGAACCGACGGTCTTGACTGCAGCTAGAAGATCTGGACCAAGGAAGAACCAATTCCAACCAACCAGTCCGCAAGGACTTCCGTTTCGAGTTAAGACACGATGATAATGATGGAAAAAATCGAACTCTGGGAACCCTTATACACAAACAAGTTCGTTGTCATCCAAACCGATCCCAAATTCTTGCCGGCTGAGGTCGACAGAAAATGGAGAGAAATTGATGCCCCGATTGTCAGTTTCCCAATGAAGGTCAGCTGTGTGAGAAATCACGGATTCTCCACGGTTCTTTGGTGCGAGAAATGGATGCACGATACGAAGATGCGTGCTCATGAGTTGAGCTTGCAGGAGGAGTTGAGATTGAAGGAGGAGTCGAGATTGAAGGAGGAGTCGAGATTGAAGGAGGAGTTGAGATTGAAGGAGGAGTTGAGATTGAAGGAGGAGTTGAGCTTGCACAAGGAGTTGTGAGTGAGGAACGAGAATTTCATTGTGCTCTTATTTCCTAGATAGCAAACGCTTCAGATTTCAGATTGATCAGAATGTCAGGATTTCTTTTCACTCTTTTTTCCTAGGACACATCGAACACCTCAGACATTAAATTGACACCCGTTAATTTCATTTCACTCTTCTTTCCTAGACAGAGAACGCTTCACATTATTTCAAAATTCAAAATTCAAATTGACAAAATTTCATTACACTCTTCTTCACTAGACACAAAACATCTCATATTCCAGATTCCATATTCCAAATTGACAACATTTCACCTCGCTCTTCTTTCCCAGCCAGAATTCTCCAGAATAATCATGAATCCATGAACATTATAAACAACAACAATAAGCCCCTATCATCAAGACTATTGAACCTCAGGATGTATAAAAATATAGAACCCTAGAATGAGTTTACACGATTACAATCGCATATGAATAGTGATGAAATGAAATGAAACAAAACATGAAAATGGTGAAAATGATAAAAATGGTATTTGGATAATTATGAGTGTTTACATTCGTAAAAACACGCTTATTGCTACCTACATACCACCCCTTTATTTCACCACTTTCTCGGTAGTTATCTTACTACAGAAACATCATTGCGTAACTTCCCCGACTTATCCGTCACAAAGAAGAAAGGAAGAGGGGAGAAAGATATCAAAAGACAAAATGAGAGAGAAGCTTGTGTTATATATAAATACACTGGTTTCATGAACAATATAAGATTACCAACGGCAATAAATAAACCATGATCACCAAAAACTTCCACAAGAACTTTGCCTCATCCTTGACCCGAGCCTCAGGGTTGAGATGTATGGATGGATATGCTCCAAATTGGAGATTTTGCTTCAATGTAAATGGTGGGGTTATATGTAGGATTTGCAATACTGATTCCATCCTAGTGTACAATCTCGAGATATTCGAAAAGATAGATCCGTATGATCCAGATGAGGATATACAGACAACATGTCGTTCAATACACGCTTGGATATCTGATATTTCCCATGCACTTGTTTTTCAGCTGATATAAACACTGTGCCAGTCAAATTTAAAGCTCAAATAACGATGAATTTGATAGTGAAAAAAACCCCAAAATAAATGTGAACTTGAAAGAGGATTTCTCATTTCGTACATATAAACATGAAGACTAAAACGCCGTAGCACCCAAAGCTATATTCAAAAACACCACATTAAACCCATGCAGAATTATGCATTCCGTCTATGATCCAACATTTTATGCATACAATCCGTCACCCAAAACCCATCATGCGCGTTTATAGCTTTGGTTCCAATCCAATTGTTGATGTTGAAGAGGTACCCATACCCTTGAAATCCTTGGGTGCCAGGATAATGTTATATTCGAGATCCAATTCTGCTTTCGGGTCACCATGGCGTGGTTTGAAGTCAACGACAAGATCTGGCTTTACTGCAAAAACGCTGTCGTTGATGAGGTATGGGTCGGTGTTGGGGTAGATTTGAGTTGTTACTGGCTTGTAGTTTTCATTTGAGATCTGCGGATTCCTGCATTAGCTTCTGAAATATACGGTAGAATGTGGAATGGCATACCATCAAGTGAATGTGAGCAGGTCTCATTGGGTGACGATCAAGCAACTTCAAGAGAACACCGGCTGATCCATCAGTTGGCAGTGAGTATGCAGTTGGGTGCAAGCAGTAAAAATGATATTGTCCGTTCTCATCGGTCCTGAACTTTCCTCTCAAGTTGTTATCGGTTTGGTTTTCAGGGTCTTGGAAATCGTATTTTCCGTTGGCAGATGCTTGCCAGATGTCAACGACTACATTTGGGATTGGCTTCTTGGTGATCAAATCGGTGACGGTTCCGTGCATCAAAGTAGCCCTTCCACCTTCAGGCACTGGGTCCTGCATGATGCTTCCGCCAAGTGGTCTGAATGGGGCGTTGGGGCTCCAGAATGGACCGAGGATTGAAGAGGATGTAGGTGTCTCGCCAGATTCGGTCATGACATGATGTGCGATTTCATCGACGACACTAGAAACACAGTTAGATATAGTTTGTAGGGTAGCACATTTGGGATACTCACGATTCGAGGCCGAGAACATCTGAAACTCGGTGACCTTCATTTCTGATGGGGGTGCTAATTTGTCCAATGGTGTTGACAAAGTTGACACCGGCCATCCATTCATCTATTGTGAGCTCATTCTCCCGTGCAAAGTCGTGGATGTGTTGAATGAGAGAACCCATCAATTGCCTTGTTCGGGGATCGGTCTTAGGGCCAATAGCGTTGATGACATTTGTAGTGAAAGTTGGGTCAAATTTTTGGGATCCATTTGAAGTAGAACTAGTAGTTCCTTGCTGTGTCGACATTTTGATTATGATGAAGTAGATATGATGTTATGGTTGAGTGATAACGAGGTTATAGGGAAATAATATGGTTGAAATGAATACAAAGAAGTCGTGAATGATGACGGAAAGTAAAAGCGACTTACCTCGAGGAGGAAGTCCTACCTATATATGATTATTTTTCTAAACATCCTCACCATACTCGGCTTAACATTGAGAACGGATTACTAGTCTGTAGTACGTACTCCAGGATTTGGTGATCTAGTGACACCTTCGTTCTAGCAGTGGATTGAGACGGGTAGTTCAATCGGCTGTTGGCGCAAAAATAATGTGGTCTTAGTTCTTAGTGGTCGAGGATTGACAAACAGCACGGAATTGATATGCGGGAAATTGGAATGCGACTACTCCGTCCACCCCAAAACTCGAGTACAGTACCCCAATACACTCCAAATCACGAGTTTTGAGCCGGAAGTATCTTTTCCCACATAAAACGTCGACTTGTAAGCTCTCACTGAGCCCCAAAGTTCAAAGTTTAACTGTCTTGGCTTCATAATTAACTTCGTCTGATTCGCTCTCCGCATGCATTACGAAGTAATGCTTGAGTAAGTGTGAGAAGTTCGAATTCCTACCAATTGAGATTGTATCCTTACCTCTGGGTAAGATCCGGAAAAGTCTTTTACCGCTGAACAAATCCGCGCAAAAGTCCCCGGATTACGCCCCGCACTTGCTTTTTGCAAGGTAGCTATGGCCCCGCCACGGCAAACCAGGGGTTATATGACGGTAATGCTTCGATAAGAAAAACAAAACCAAAGACTCATTCCTATGAAGATAATATTACGGTGACTTGCGGTCAGTTATCAGCTCATTTTTGAGAGAAGTCGTAACGAGATTCCAAATTCTACATCCACACTTTGACTCCCTGCGTTTGATTGTATGTTGAGGAACTCGTTTGTCCGCCGACTTCACTCTTCACAACCGAGGAGAATGCTTCATCATTTGATGGTGGGAACTTGGACCCCTCCTGGTGCAATTTTTACCATTGAATTCGATGATGAAGCATTAACTTTGAAATTGCTCAAGAGAACACCAATTCCAGAAGATGAGCCAATTTCATGGATGACTTTTGATGTAAGTTTAGGTTTCTGTCGGACGGAAGTCTCTTGGTTGCCAGCGCGCGCTGATCGAATGTCTTGATTTCTAGCATGCGCGGAAAAACATATATGGAGCTTCAATGAAGAAGTGGTCCAGTCATGCTGTTACAAGTCCTGCAGGAATTCAACATATTACTTCACATCCTATGTCCCATGACCGTACGTAACTTCCGCAGTCTGTATCATTTGAGAAACCTTCTAATATCACGAACAGCGTCCGCGGCGAAATCTGATACGAGAACAAGAGCAATTTTCTGCTTAGCAGCAAAGAAGCCACCCTATCATGTTTACGGCAATCCATTTTACGAGCACGCTGGACACGGTAATGTTTTCTCGGTCGATGAGGATGGCGCATTGAAGGAGAACATCCAAAACTATGAATATAGTCCTGAATCCGCAATTCATGGCATGGTGTTTGACGCAGAAGAGAATTATCTTTATTCTGCAGATATGTGGGGGAATAAAGTATGGACACATAAAAAGGATAGCCAAACGGGTTTGCTTGAGTTGGTGGGAAGTGTAGATGCGCCCAAGAAGGGAGATCATCCTAGATGGGTTGAGATACACCCAAATGGAAAATATCTTTATGCTTTGAATGAAGCAGGCAATAACTTGGCAGTCTATGTCATTGATGAGAAAACCCATTTGCCAGTATTTACAAATATAACATATCCATTAGTACCTCCAGGTATGCACTTTCCCTCCCCTTTATCACCACATATTTTTTCCGCTCAGCGACTAACACATAATGAATGATAGGGGTTCCAAATCTTAAACTTTATCGATCAGATGTCGTTTTCATGTCGCATAGCGGCAAATATCTCTTTGCAACATCACGATCGAACGATTTCAAAGTTACCGGTTACATAGCAGTTTTCAAAGTTGGACCGGCTGGAAATATCGAAAGGCAGATATGTTTGAATCCAACACCAACAAGTGGAGGTCACTCGAACGCAGTTAGTCCTTGCCCATGGAGTGATGAATGGTTGGCTTTGACGGATGATCAAGATGGTGGGTTTGAAATTTATAGATGGCATGAAGAGTTTTTACATAGGGTTGCCAGAATTGATATCTCGGAACCTGGATTTGGTATGAATGCTATTTGGTATGATTAATAGACATAGAAAAAATAGATAATATCTAGCTAGTATGTAGATTTTAAATTTTCGAAATGTATGTAATCTTAGATAAATGTCAAAATACTTTACACATATCAATTTGGATTAAGCGCAGATGCCCACTGGCCTTAGAATTTAGCGAGGCAATCTACCGTGATTTCATCTGAAAATAGCCGGAGGAGCCTCCCGAGTCGAAACATTACCGGATTTCTAACCGCAATTCAACCACCCCTCATTAATATGGGGAAATATTCTCTGCTGAGCAAATATGGAGGGGCAGATATGGCCGCGCACGACGGGACGGTTAAGCCTTCTCCCCCCCCTAAACCCTCCCATTTCTCGCCCACCATGCGAAATAATATCTAATTTCTGATCTGGAATCTCCTCATCAATACCTCTCTCACTTTTCCAAACGATTGATACTTGCGATCAAGTCAATCTACACAGGACATTCTCATCAACCCACTATTACAACGTCTCATCGTCCCTATCATGGCACCCATACCCGGACTCCTCTATGTTACCATGCAACCTCAAGAATCTCTTCCTGATTCTCAATGGCACGACTGGTACGACAATGAACATGGACCTTTGCGAGTGCGTCTTCCCTTCATCAAAAATGGTTTTCGCTACCGCGCAAACGACTTGTCTTCTTCAACGCCTGCCTCTCCATCTCATCCAGAATGGATGGCTATGTACGATGTCACAGACATGGCTGCCATGAACACGGAGACCTATCTGCGACTTCGTGGGCCCGAAGTAAAGACCGATAGAGAAAAAGAAACAATGGCGCAGATCAAGGTGGATAGAAAATTATATGATTATATTAGTGGCAGGGAGATAGACGGATATAAGAAGGTGGAGGAAGTGGGGTATGAGGAGGGAAATTACGTGGTTGCTTTCACGGCTGAAATCGACGAGGAATTCGAAGAAGATTATACTAAGTGGATGGAAGAGGAGTATTTGCCAATGCTTGCAAAGATTCCAGGCTGGAGACGTACGAGACGCTTTGTTACGAGTAGCATACTTGAAGGGAAAGAAGGAAAGGAATATTTGAGCATTCATGAGTTTGCTCCTCAAAACGATGCATCAGGAGAAGCATATAAAGCTGCCATATCAACAGAATGGTCTAAGAAAATCATTTCAAATGCTTTGAAACCCAAAAAGGCTAGGCACTATGATTTATATTACACATTCGGCGCTGCACCTCGAGATATCTCCAACTTCTCCAGGTCTTATTATACGAGTTGGAATTCGATTGATGGGAAGACTCGTACTGGACCAAACACTATTGCAGAAGGTGGAGCAATAGAATCATATATCACAACGCAAGATGGAGTCGAACTCGCATATCGACTCGAAGGATCCACCGACCCAACTGCTCCTCTTATTATCCTCAGCAATTCCATCCTCGTAACATATTCAATCTGGACTCCCTTTGTCCAAGCATTTCTTGCATCACCTACTGGTAAAAACTACCGCATCCTACGCTACAACACTCGTGGCCGCACATCCAACGCCGGCTCTTTACCCATCACAATCGACCTTCTCGCTTCCGACATAATCCACATCCTAGACACTCTCCGCGTTCCTAAAGCCGCCTGTTTGATCGGTGTCTCACTAGGTGGTGTCACTGTTCTCAATACTGCTCTCAAATACCCCGATCGCGTCAATGCTTTCATATCCTGCGACACGAATGCCTACGCGCCTCCATCGAACCCCAAAGCCTGGGACGAGCGCATCGCCATGGCAGCCGCTGAATCTGCCAAATCGTCCGACGATGAACAGATCGTAGGATCCGAATTGGCGGAAATCACAACGCGCAGATGGTTCGTGGCTGAAAATTATGAAAACGAGACACTGAAGAAAAGATTTGAGGATGTGAAGAAGCAGGTTGAGCAAAATAGTTTCGAGGGATTTCAAAAAGGTGTCAAAGCTCTTTATCAATATGATATCAGGGAGGAGATGAAGAAGCCGGTTGTTGAGAAAGGATTGTTTGTGGTTGGGAGCGGCGATGGCGTTTTACCCAAGTCAATGAAGGAAATGGCGGCGAATTATGGAAATGGTGTTGAGTGTAAGGTTATTGAGGGAGCGGGACATCTACCCATGGTTGAAAAGCCAGAGGAGTTTTCTGATGTTGTAGCAAAGTTCTTGGGCTAGCTAAGATAGGATTATAGTTTGTTAACTAGTTTCTAAATGTTCAAGTCTTTTACTTTTGACTATTTGTGGAAAATCTGGATATTCTCTTAGCGATATAAAATATTCCTTGAATATATGTATCCATATATCTCTTATGTATATGAAATTCCCATCTTACAAGTCCAAGTCCAAGTCCAAGTCTAATTCCGAACCCCCTAGACGAAAACTTACACTTTAAGAAAAAGGAAACATTAATTATCGAACAAGCTAGCTATTACCTACACGAATAAAAAACCTTGCATATACATTTCGCTCCATTACACATACACACACATACACATATATATTAAACACTCCACCTAATTACCAGTATCCTACATCCGTTCTGTCCCGCCTTTTCCATTTTCCCTTAAAGGATTGTAAATAACTATCCACCTGTCTGTCTGTACATTCCACCAGTATGTGATGAGATTATATGAGATTATATATTGTTATAGCTAATTATATGTGCGAGGACTAATCAACTAATTAATCAACTAACTAATCAACCAGACAATGTAAATACATGTATGTATGTATGTATGTATGTATGTATGTATGTAGGTACCTAGGGACCTAGGTAAGAAGATTATATGGAAGAGAAATTCAGATATGAAGAGGATTGCATGGAAGAGAGATTTAGATATGGAGGAAGAGGAGAAAGAAGGAATGAAAAAAGGAATGAAAATGAAAACGAGTAGAGAGCGCTAGATAAATAGATACAAAAAGTACTCTAACAAAGATATAAACAAACAAAAAAAAGAAGTTCTCATACGGCGCGGAGGAGTGACGATTTTCTTTACACAAATGTGTATTTACAGGGTATACCTCACAGGCACCGTCCTCGTCCGGCTCGTTCTTCTAACTCTTTCCTCATCCTCATTCTCACCGTCACCACCATCTCCATTTCCCGCATCCCTCATCTCAACATCTGATAATTTACCAACAAATGTTTCGTCTGCCGAATCACTGTCTTGTATCATATCAGGAAAGAGAGGAGAATCGGCATCTAGCATCATCTCATCGCTATCGTCATCTACTCCTTGATCCGAATTTGAATGTGAACGTGAATGTGAATGTGCGTTTGATGGGCCCGCAACACCGTACTCATGAACCTTGGCCTTCTTGCTCGCCTTCGGTCTTGGTCTTCCCTTTGGCCAACCCACTTTTCTCTTCTCCCCTATCTTTCCATTCTTGGCGCTCTTTTTCTCACTCGATTCGTTAGATGTCCCCTTGTTCCCTTTTGTCTTTCCTTTCCCATCTCCACTTTTCTTATTCAAGTCGTGGATCTCCGCAAACGACGTACCATAGTCAAAAAGTAATTCCTCCCCTATCAAAATATTTCGAGTAGCACGGAACTCAATCCTATATTCCCCTTGAACAAATAGAACCCTTGCGAAGCAATTCGTGCCTCCGGCTTCCGACTTAGCGTGGTTGATAAATCGCGTTTTATTCCCCATCCGGGTAGCATCAATAACCCACTCCTTATTCAGACCGAACAGATAACTCAAGCGTCTTGCATCATAACCCACTCCTCTGCGGTCGGCTTCTTTATCAGAAATTACTTCCCCGGTATATTCACTAATAAAATCTCCTTTTTTTACGGGTTCTGCGGTGAAAAGTCCAAAGCCGGCGTTTGGGATTGGAGACTTTCCCAGGATGAGCTTTTTATTGACTCCCCGTTGCAAAGCTATATTCTGACAGCCATGCTGAAAGAGTTCATGGTTGTAACGGTCTTGCGGTCGAAGCCGGGGAATTGCTCCACAAGTATCGCATTGATCACCGCATTCGCGGTTCATTTGAAAGCAAATGCAGGTATCGGAAGTACAAGCAAGACCCTCTGAACGGCAAGAACACCCAGCGAACCGTCGTACACAGTCTTCTGTGCATCCGCAGAATTGTTCGCAGAGAAGATTGTGGATTACGCAGTAGCAGTTCAGCTCGCGGCGACAAGGACCTTCATGTAGGCAAGGACCTGGCTGGGCGCGTAGCTCGGCCATATGTGCCACGGTGCTATCTCTCCATCCTGGTTTGAGGCCACGATTCCTAGGTACTGCTGCGGGGTCGTACCAATGTGCTCGCTCGCTCTGCTGCTGCTTCTGGAGACTTTTACTCCTGCTGATGGAGCTTTCTTCCTCAAGGTCGAGGATTTTGGAATAGATCTGCCAGCAGGGTTTATCAAGAATATCCACAAGAGTGCATGGCTTTTTGGGTTTGGTTACTAGCAGTATACTTTTGAGCTCGCTTTCTTCTTCTTGCGTCCAGGCATGATTCGCCCATTCAGTCCTTCCACGGTAGCATTCTTCACCGCATGCTTCTGCCGTATCTTTCTCGGTATTCCAATGCTCTGGGTGCCAATTCTCATTCTTGTTACTGTGATCTCGAGCATTGTGTTTTCGCATGACATCTGAACTGTACATCACAAATCTTTTCCACTTATGATCGTCATTTGACTTCTTGGACGATGATGAATCAGGCGAACCGATTTCCGAGGAACCATCACTAAGATTGTTCTTGAACTCACCATGGGTTGTACAGGCAGCACCATGGCAGATTAGGCAAGAGAATCCTGCCATTGTCCCCAGCCTTTCTGGAGGAGGAGGTTGATTCCCTGATAGTTTGTATAATTTATCCTTTGAATCCTCGACCAACACTTTGAACCGGGACTTAGACAGGACCACATCTCCCATGTCAATATCACAGCCTGCGGTCATTTCTTCGGCAACCAGTCCCATTATCCTAAGCTCATCTCCAGATAGAGGGCCGCCTAGTGTTTTGAGAACTAATCTTTTCTCCTCCATCGGGTATGGCAATTTTTCATGTTTATGTCCCAAATAGTATCTGATGAGTGCCTCCCTATTGCAATAATCGTACCCCATATTCTCTAAAAAGACATCTACATGCCTATCGATTTGATAAATTTGTTCCCTCTCTCTTGGGTCATCATTTCTTTCCTCGTATAGTCCATGTAGGTCTTTCTCAAATTTATTCATAAACTTCTCCTCATTTTGTACAACCGACGGAACGTACCGGAGTATTTTATCGTCTGCGGTAAGATGATTTCGGAGAACATCAGTGTGATGAGCGTAGCTGGGTGTCCGCTCCACACCACCATCTCCAACTATTATTGGTAGAGCGTAATTTGGCGTTCTTTGTTTCTTGGTTGTCTGTTGGCAACCTGTTAGCAACCCATCAACGATGCAGGATATAAAAACTTACTTGAATGTTCAACTTTATAGCTCCTTGAACATGTCTATCTGGTGCTTCCAGAGATATGAAGGGGCTTTCGTCGTCGTCCAGCGTATCGTTATCCAACGCTATCATCGTCCGCAGATGTCGTTTTTCCAGAAGAGCTTCAAGGCTAAGGCTCCAGTCTTCCATCATTGCCTCCTCCGAAGTGCCAATACTTTCTTTAATCACGTCCATTGACTTTTCTTGGCGCATCATTTGAGTTAATGCATCTGAGGTTGAAGAATTTTCTTTGGACAGGCCAGGTGCTCCTAATCTACCACTTGTCTCCTCTTCAGGGCTCTTCAAGAAGTGAAGGTCCATGAGATTACGAAGTAACAATGGCCTCGAC